AAATAGTTTATTTAATAGATTATTAGACTCTGAAAATTTTATTTAATCATAATGCTGTAAATTGACAAAAAAATGTCATAAACTTTATAATAAGAAAGAATGAAACTTACACTGTAAATTAGTAAAACCTGCTACATAGATCATGTTAGAGTGAAATCTGCATTTAGCTATGTTTTTATTATGCAAAAATGAATTTTGCTATTATATAATCTGCATAACAGATTTTACTAATTTACAATGCAAGTTTCATCCTGTTATTTTATAATTATAGAACAAGTGAAGATGGTGATGCTACTGATACCCCTGTAGCATTACTTGTGCTAATTTTGGTCAAATTCTTCATTATGTAACAATTTACTAATAATTATGTACCAATGCATGCTTTACTTTAACATGAATGAAATAATTAATAAGAACATATAATTTAAGTTTAACAAAAATCAACAAATGTAATAATATGTAAAAACCAATTCTGCAATAATATCTTGTATATGTCTTAATTATAAATACTATAAGAAACAGGCTAATATACAGAAAAATGCAGTTTTAACTCTACATTAACTGTATTTAGAAGTGAAATTGAATATCAAAAACATTAAAACATAAATATTTTAAAGTAATAATCATTTAACAACATTATGTTTGTTGGTTATGTTTTTGATTCAGGTCAGACAGATGATAAGTAATTTTATAATATTAGAATTTCAACTTAAAAACTTGTTTTTTGAATTCTGTGACTAAAATGAACGTGTTTGATGATGCCTTGATTGATGATCATACACTCAAAATCAGATTGAATGCAGATATGCATTTGCCTATAATCAAACAAAATTGATACCAAATTAGAAATGAATCGAATATGGTTTCAAAATGATAACATGAGCAATTGGATATGAGAAATTAGTGTAAAAATCTAGTAAAAAAAGTGAAACAGTTAGTAAAATATATACTAGAAATATAAATATATAAAAAAGATACAAAAATATAATATTCTACTTATCTTTTATAATGCTCAAGAAGAACTAAAGACCCTAATAAAAAAACTATCACTAAATAAATAAAGTTGTTTGTTTGTATTAGTGTCAGTTTTGTATTTAGTATTAACTTAGTATTAATAATAAATTGTAAAGCAGTAAATAAAAATATACTTGCTAAATAGTAACATCTTAAGTACATAGTATAATTTTTAGTATCTGATTAATATATAATGTAATTGAACCAAAATCAGATAAAATATGCATATATAATCATCTCAAACAATTAAGACAATATGTAGAGTAACTAAAATATATAATCAAATTAGAAAAGAATTATGTTCATGATGTCAATATTTCAAAATGGCAAGATTAAAGTAACCAGTCATCAGATTTATATTTAAGAAAAAAAAAATATTGTTAGTAATACAGTAACTTCTAGAAAATAAAAATAAAAAAGAAAAACTTATCTAATAAAAGCTCAGAAACAATTAATAGTAAAAATTAGAAAGAATAAAAGCCTTTTTTTAAGTAATCCAAGCATAAATAAAAAGTATATTTGTCCAAATCAAGATTTATATATTTGCAGAGTATGTCTAGATTTGCTGTTTTAAATTATTTCCTACACTATTCTCACTAATCATGCCTCGTAATAAAGATGCATATAATAATTCATTTGACATATTTAAAGATTCTAAAGGAAAAGAAAGATACAAATGTCATAAGTGTGAAAAATATTAGGCCAAAAATGAAACAAGACTACAAGAGCATTATAATTCTTGTATTTTGACAGAAAATGTAGAAAATAGAATTTCTTTTGGATTTAAATATCAATATCAAGCTACAGTAGATAATTTTGTATATAAATTATCTAAAGCTGATCAAAAAAATTTAGAAAGTCTATTTGCACGTGCTTTTTATTCATCAGGAGCTTTCTTTAATATTTTAGAAAATGAAGATTGGCAAATTTTTTTTTCAAAAGCTTGTCTATCATTTAAACTTCCCTCACAAAAATCACTTTCTAATACATTACTTAATCAAGAATATGGTAATATTAATATTATAGTTCAATACTTATTTAATTAAACACAGTATTTTTTACTTATTACTAATAGTTGGTCCAATATTAATAATAATTCTATTATTAATTATATGATAACAACACCAAAATCTATTTTTTACAAATCAATTACTACAAAAGAAGAGCAACACATGGCTAATAACATAGCATTAAATATTGAAACAATTATGTTAGAAGTAGAAATTGATAAATTTGTTGCTGTAATTACTGATAACACTCCTAATATAAAAGCAGCATGAAGAATTCTTAAGGATAAATATCCAACAAAAATCTTTTTAGGATGCTGGGCCCACACAATTAATTTGTGGATTAAAAATATTTTGAAAATTAAATAGGCAAAAACTATTTTAGAAAAATGTAAAGGAATTGTATCATATTTTAAATTACATCAAACTATTTTAGCTACTCTTCAACATCTTCAAATAGAAAAATATGGACAATAAATTGCATTAGTTTTAATAATTAAAACACAATAGGGTTCTGCCTTTGAATGTATAGATCATCTTTTATGAACAAAACTAGTGATAAAATCTATTTTAGCTGAAGATAATTTAAGAATTGATATTCATATTCAAATTTTAATTATTAATAACAGTTTTTGGAAAGATCTTAAATATCTTCATGACTTATTAAAGCTATTTTTAATGTTTATTCACCTTTTAGAGCAAGATAATCCTTTATTTTCAGTAGCGTATATCAAGTTACTTGATATAAGGACAGATATATATAAGAATCAGAAGTTTCTAAAACTTTTTGTAAGGAAGTTTTGCAGTTAAGACACAAATGATAGATTGATTTTTTGTTTAATTTAGCAATTTTAGTTGCATATAAATTAAATTCATGATATTGAGATAAAAAACTTAATCTGCAAAAATGAGATCATATTATAGAAGAAGAAATTATATAGCTAGCTGGATTAGAAAACAAAGATAAGGCTTTATCAGAATTCGCAGAATATATTAGTAAAACAGATAAATTTGCAAAGTCTCATTTATGGGATGCTATAAAAGAAAACCCTCAAAATTGGTGAAATTTAGTAAAAGCCAGATATCCAATTATTAGTTCTGTTGCTTTTAAAGTTCTTTTTATTCTAGCAACCTCTGCTGCAAGTAAAAGAAACTGGTCATTATTTGGCTTTATTCACTCAAAACTGTGTAATAAATTAAATAATGAGCGGGTAGGAAAAATTGTTTTTATTTATTAGAATTTTTGAATATTGCAAAGTTTAGATTGGCCATTATCAGTAAGTGATTTAAAAAAACTGGTGCTATTATTGAGAAAAAAATTAGTGACAATATGATAGATAATGAAGTCGATACTAGTGAAAATTTGATATTCAAAGATGAAGAATGGATGTTGAATAAAGATATGTCTTTTGAATATAATGAAGAGAATTTTGAAGAAGATGTTGAAAATTTTGAAAAATACTCAGAAAGTGTTTTGAGAAAAATTTTGAAGAACAATTTAACAAAAAATATCATGAAGATTATAAAAATTCTAAGATGTATTCTGAGGAGGATTTTGAAGAGTATTACAAAAGCAATTTTACAACCAACTTAGAAGATGATTATTAAGGTTTGTATCGCTATTAGTTTATTGCTGAATTTGTTATTACTATATTGAAAGCTTAATTAACTAATTAGCTTTTAGGTTATTAAAATTTTATAAATTATAATAAGTTTTTATGCAGTTAATTATTACAATCTTCAAGGTCACAAAAATTTTTTTTAAAAAATTTACCTTAATATATATGATACACTTATAGCACTTTATTGAGTATATACATATGATAATTATTTTACTTATTATTTACATTTTTTAAGAAATTTTAAGATTAATTGAAGACCCTTATTTAAAAAAATCATGAATTTAAAAAAGTTTATTATTTTATAATTGCTATCTTATGACTATGTATTATTTTATTGTTATTATTTTTATATTTTTATATTATAGTTATATATCATACATTTTATTATATCTAAAAATAACAAGTGCAATCATGTATTAAAAGAATTAAAGTGATTTGTGATTATGAAAGAGGTAACAGCTAAATGTTTATAAAGATACAAGAATTATCATAATACAAGTTTATTCTTTGTTAAATCATTATTGTTATACTTGAGATAGTTGCTAATTTGAAAGAATCTTAGAGCTATTATACATTACAATTAGTTATGATCATTGACTATTACTTTTATCAGGCTATATTATATCTATTTGATCGAATAATTATATGTGATATAATTGATCTAATATATATAATAATGATAAATACTACATATAACAAATATATAATATACTATCTAACAAAAATGTTAGTTATATGCATTTTGAGTACGTAGTCTTGAGTTTACTTATTTTTTCCACCACTTCCGATTGGTTGTACTAATTATTCAATTGTTGGGTTATTTATATTATTTATTAATCAAAAAAAAAATTTCATATAAAAATTTGTGCTGTTGGTATTTTGCTCTTAGATTATGTTTAGAAGATTAAAATTTTACAAGGAAATTTTTTTATTAGTATGCAAAAGATAGTTTTATAGATCGATTTAGAGTTATAAGTGATTTAATATTTTTTATATTTTCTTTGCATTTCTTTTACGTTACATTCGATCGTAAAACTTGATTGGCACCAAGAAGTAAATTATTAGTATGACCAATCAAAAGTAGTAGGAAAAATAAGTGCTTCATGTAGTCTTAACATTTATGATGCAAAAATTATTATTAAATCAAAATTTATAATTTAAATATATCATTTTGTTTATAAGTTTAAAATTTTTTATTTTAAACTTGATTTTTATTAGCCAATCAGAATAAAAGTTTATCATGCTATATAATAGTTTTATAATTTAGACTAATTTTAGTATATACTATATATTTGTAACTTATATTAGAAACATGTAAGTTACAATGTAAATTACAATATAAGTTACATTGTCAGGTAAGTTATCCCAACCCTACAACTTAACAACTTTACTAAGTTGCTACACTTCTTAACATTTTTATGTTTTAATATTATATTAAAGGATATATCAATATTTAAAATATTTTAAATTTAAAAATATATTTTGTAATATATATTTATTAATTGATAATGATATGACAAAAATTATAATAATTAGAGGTGTGGTGACCTAGTGAAGTGGTCAGGTTGTCAACCCTCTAAGTGGTAGGTTGGGTGTTCAAATCCCATCAATGATAAAATTTGAATAATCACTTATGTAATATTTGTATTATGGCAACTATTACTAATGGTTAGGTTAGGATATCTGTAATAGCAGTCACATCAGCATGACTGACAGGTCATGAGGCATCTGTGCAATGTTGGAGTTATACAGAGAAATGCAAACTGACATATTGGGCAGTGCAAACACTAGATAAGTTCTCATGGCTATGTAAATCTATTGAAATTAGGTAACAAGAAGTCCATTTAGGAAGACCTGAGTAGAGAGATAGCTAGATCTTCAATGGCCTTACTGTAAAGGCTAGCCTGGTAAAATGGATACCTAGATCTAGTACCCAGTCCTAGTAGCTAGATGGGCAAGAACCTCTGAGTTGGAAGTCTCAGAGGTACCACCAACCAGACTGCTAAAACGAACTGAAGAAAAAGGATATTGGGCCAACCCGATATACTGATAGACTAGTTGTAGTCCTACACAGGCTATTTGGATTGGAAGTTTGGTAAAAGGACAAGGGAAAAGGCAGGGTTATACTAAAGTACCGAGGTTATGCTGTGAAGTAGATGCTGGGGTTTAAGTGAACTCCATAATGGCATAGTGGTTTAATAATTAGCTCTGACCACAAGTGTTAGTTCTGCCATAGCAATACCTAAATCAGTTGTAAAAATGAGTACAGAAGGCTTTGAGGGGTTTACCTCGAGAATAAATTAGTCCTAAGATTGAGATGATGATTTGGGCATCTGGGTATGACCTAGTAATATTAACACAGATTACAGGTTCAGAAGGTTTAAAGTAGAACACCTAAGCAGGAGTGTTAGGTATGGCAATTGGTGGGAAACCTTCGGGCGGACTCCTTAAATAGGTAATATAGAAAAATTACACGTGTAGCTAATTGTACGCTCTCCTGTAGTGGTTCATTGAACCACAATACTGATAAGTGATTAATAAAAGTCAAAAGACCAAAGAGGTCACCTTAATACTAAAAAAAAAAATAATAATTATAATAATTAAATAGATTTGATAACAATTGATAACTGTATTTTATTAATTATTACTTTATTATCAATTTGTATCAATATTTAATATATATTAATTATAAATCTGTTTATTAATATATATATCATTAATTTGCAAATAATATATATTAATTATTGCTATAAAAAAAATTTCTTGATGTGGCAGCTGCAGAACACTGCAACAGAAATTAATTATAAACAAGTAAATGAGCTATTAGCAAGACTTAACAGAAAAGATGAATTAAGATAGCTAACAAAATTAAAAATAATACAAGCTTGCCAAAGAGCAAGATTAACAGAAGCTTAGAGAAGCTGCCAGAAAATAGAACATGTTGGAAGAACAACTTAGCCTTTTGAAAATAGTTAAGACAAAAGAGCTAGAAATAAATATAAGTATAGAAAATAAGTTGTGAACAATGAGTAACTATGGTTATAAAATAGTTGAACTACTAGAAACACTACTGTAGAAAAGAAGTAAAACTAAAATAAGTAAAACAGGCCTAATGTACCTAAACCAACTACTTGATGCAAAAAATAAAAGACTAATTACATGGCAGCAATTTAAAAATTACCAAAAACAATTGAGCAAAAGTAAAACAGCAGAATAGTTCAAAAAAATAGAAGAAAAAGTGCTGAATAAACTAGAGAAAAAAAATGTGAAAGAACACTTTAGGACAGACTGTTATAATACACAAGCAATGAAGATTAAATAAAAAAATCTCTTAAAAATAGAAGAAAAAAAGAATGGATTTTATATAGCACAAAAGATAACAGACAAATAGAGAAAATAATTAAGAAAAAAAAGAAGAAAGTACTAATAGAACATTGGCAGATGCAAAGTGTAAAAAGCAATTTAGCAACTAAAATTAGCAAATGCAATAGATGTATAAGTGAAGAAGAAATAGTAGAAACTAGCTGTTAACAGTAGATAAGAATTAATAATAAGATAAGAGTAGTTTCAAATATACTAATAATTAAAAACAACAACATCATCAAAACAGCAACAGATCAACTAACAGGATATACAAGAACAGAAAAGTTAAAGAAAAATAAATGAAAACTAACAGAACTAAGAATGCTGGAGAATTTAGAAACAGAGCTAGTTAGAAAGCAAAAGTTAAAAAAGAATGTTGCTCAAGAAATAATAGAAGTCTTAAAAAGAAATATATTAAGAAAACAAGAACAAGTATACAATATATACAGATAGCATAACAAATAAACAAAATAAAAAAGAAGTAACTGATAGAAACATAGGTATAAGTTAGGTACAAATAAGTAAAGCACAAGATTGGTTAAAAGAAAAGATAGCATTAAGAGTAGAAGGATAACTAATATAAACTGCAGCAGAGTTATTAACAATATAAGCAACAATTTTAACTATATAAAGAGAAAAAAACTACAAATATTTATAGATAGTAATGTTGCAATTAGAAACATTAGTAAAGAATTAGAATGTATAAATAAAAATAGAATTCTCAAGAGGAAAAATGCAGTTTGAATAATGAAGATAATTGACTTAGTTAGAACAAAAAATATATAAATAGAGTAGTTTAGGATAAAAAGCCAAAGACAAATGAAATAATAAAGCTAATAGCCTTATAAAAAAAGAAACAACAAGTAGTAAGATAATATATATAGAAGAAGTCAGTTGCAAAGAGATAAAGTACTGCTTAAAGTGGAAAAACAAGCAAATAGACCTGCCAACAAGACTTTTATATAAGCTAGTAACAAATGCCAAGCTAGATGCAGAATGAAGAGAAACAATAATGATCAAGAGCTTAGAACTGATAACAGAAATAACAATCTATAACTGGGCATATTTTTGGAAAAGGCTAAAGTCTACTAAAGAAGTATACTATATAACAAGAAGAAGCAATATAAGAAGAAGTGCCTTTATAAAGTACATATTGGACAAGCTTCTAACATTGAAGAAACTTAACAAAAAAAAATCAAACTTATATGTAAATACAAAATACCAAGTATGTCAAGACAAAAATAAAGAAATATAATGGCATCTGGCAGCATGCAAAGAACAAACAAGTCTTTGAAAAAGAATACAGAAAGTATTTATTACAACAGCATAGAAAAGATCAAAAAAAGAAGAAAAAACCAGAGTCCTATCTTATATATTGTATATAGCAATATTTAAAAAAACAAAAACAGAAGAAACTAAGATAAAAAAATACTAATTAAGGGCCTAATTTCAAAAACAACTCAAGACAAGTTAGCACAACTTCTAGATATAAGAATAAAACAATGATTTGTAAACATATTAGCAAAGACAGCCTGGAATACCTTTTATGAGCAAGTTTAAAAAACATAATGTAAAAAAGTTAATGAATAAGAAAAAAGAACAGAAATAACTAGTAAAATAAAA